GCTTAGGCAGGAGGATCACAAATGTGAAGTAGGACTCGGCAATTTAGTGATGTACCTAAGCAATTTAGCAAGAACCTGTCTCAAAATATACAATAAAGCAAGGTCTGGGGGTGTAGATCATTTGTAAAGTGCCTCTGGGTTCAATCCCCAGCACACACACAAAAAAGGTAAGTAGGTCTCAAAAGAATTACAGGTATGGAATGGATATAGGCATAGGACACTTGCTGGGATAAAATAGGAAAAAAAAATGCTCAATGTGTTTTTAATGAAATGCACAACTAAAGGGGTGCTAACTTGGTTTCAAGGTGATTGAAACTTCTAAATAATTTTCCATTTGCCAACCTGTACAAGTTGAAAACATTACCCAGGGAAGTCATATTCTCTAATCTTTGGAGGAGATTGATGAAAGCAATGAAAAAGGAGCACTTTTTCTTTCCAGAGGGTAGAGAAAAGAACCACAGATGATTGCCTGAGCTGCAGAACCAGAGCCTGCATCAGGGAACATCCCCCACTCGGGTCCAGGGCCTGTACAGCACCCACATGTGCGCTATTCCTGGATGACCACCATCACTCACCTTTCTAAGTAGGAGAGCTTTGGTGGATGTTATTCTATTCTTCTCCCAGTATTGAGTGTGGGCAGAGGCGGGGAAATGGTTCAGAAGTCTTCATTTCAAGAGGAACCACACTGATGTAGGGATCATTATAAAATCCTGGACTTGAAGTATACTGCCTTGACCAAATGGGATTTTGGGGTATCCTTTAGGGAGAAGCAGGAAATACATATTTTTAAGTCAAAGAAAGAGATGTAAATATTTGTCCCTAAAGTGGAAGACTAAATTTGCTAAAACAAATAGACTAAATTTAATAAGGTAATAAATTAGACAATGATTCCCACTTTTTCCCTCCTTCCTGTTTCCCTTTGTATTATTTTCCACAATGTTGCCGAGTGACACTCCATTGGTGGAGTGTACTTCTCTATCCCAATGACCCACAACCTGGCCATGCAACATTCTTTGACCAATGACACATGAGTGGAAATTTCAGAGGACAATTCTGGGAGTGGTGGCATACATCTGTGATCCCAGGGACTCAGGAGGCTGAGGCAGGATGATTGGTCGAAAGCTTGATGCCAGCCTTAGCAATTTAGCGAGGCCCTGAGCAAATTATTGAGATCCTTTTCTCAAAATAAAAATTAAAAGGGCTGGGATGTGGCTCAGTGGTGATGCACCCCTGGACTCAATCCCCAGTATCAAAATAAATAAATAAAAAATAAACATTTTAAATGCCATTAGTGCTTCGGCCAGCTCTCTTTTTCTCTTCCCTCTCAATTTAGAAGGGGTTGCCCCCATGGAGGCTGACCCTCCAGCCTTGCTCCCGGAATGAAAGGACGGCTACAGCCAACGTGCAGCCAACCTAGGGCAGAGGGTGCTCACCAGACTGACACAGAGAAGCAGAACCAGGAATGAAGGACAATGTGCAGATGTTAAAATAGGATTAAGCCTCATGCAATTATGGACTCTGGTGAGAGAGTCCAGCTTGGCTGTTTCTTATAAAGGGTGCTAAACTGGGAGTCCCAAGATAGTTGCTCATGCCCTGGACATGAAGTAGGGGAGAGAACAGGGAAAAGTGGAACGGAAAAGGAGCCAGCTAGAACATGCATAGCTGTCTGTCACTGAGAGCCATGTTGGTCTCTTTCCATATCTAAGCCTCAGCCCCCTTTGCCTGGGAAGCTTTCAGGAGAAGCTAATGATCTTGCTTCAGAGTCAGATCACTCCAGGACCAGGATTTTTGAAGTCAATGGAAGGGATCCAATAGGGACAGAGCTTTGGGCTCGATCCATGCAGTGAGCCAAAGGTGAAAATGTGCATGAGCTGCCACAGAATCTGACCTACATGCACCTCCATGTAATCAGCAGAGCCAAGTTGACCCATGGAAAAGCCAGCTTGTGGGGAAACAAGAGTTTATTGATACAAAACACTAAGATTTCTAGGTGGATTTCTACTGTGGCCTAATTGCTGGGATAAAATGGTTAGCCGCCAACTCCTTCCAGATTATTAGCCCTTCCAGGCTTTGGCCCATATATCTCCTTCTGGTTCTGATGAAATTCTGTGCTATGTGTGGCAAAGAGCCTGGCCAGATTTAGGCAACAGAAGATCCTGTTTTTATATTAATAACTACCTACTGTGCACAAGACAGTTCCTACTGTGCTAATCGTAGACACCGTAATATCAAACTATAAAAGCTTGGTTCTTATGACCCCAAAGCTCACAGTGGAGCAGGAGAGAATAATATCAATAAAAACATGGTTCATTAACTGAAATTGTGATGCATGCTCCAAAGGCAAAGCTTAAAGAGCTGTGAGATCTATAACCAGGTCTAAGAGAGTCAGAGAAACTGCCCAAGAAAATTCTATTTGGAAAAGAGTTGAAGAGATGAAGAAAACAGCCATGTTCCAAGGGCCTGAGGTAGAACTACTCCAGAATAAGCTGGAAGAGCTGAAAGTGAGTTTGCTTAAATTCTAGAAGATGAGATGACATGTGGTACGAGACTGGAAAATAGGTACAACTATTTTCACAGAAACTAATAAGCCACAGGGATAATTTTGCAACAGCAAGTCCCGAGGAGTGGCATGTCCAGATATTCCTAGTGAAGAACTCATTCTGGATGTGTCTTGGAAAATGTATTGGAGAGAGGCCAAGAGACACTTGGAATATTAGCCCCAGAGAATACAGTGGGGCTGGAGAACATGTCACAGTCAGGAGCTACACAGGGAGTCGTACTGATTTCTCCCAATTTTCCGGCCTGAGCCATTACACAGAATGGTATGCCATCTAATGAAGCACAAAGTTCCCTAGGGAGATGAAATCTGGGGTAGGAGAAAAAATCATGAGTACATGAAAAATTTAAGTAAAAAGGCCTGTTTGTTTATTGGTTATAGTTAGTATAAGAATTGCTTAGTTAAATCAGCAATCTGTATGGGAATTTCCCAGTGTTCTCAAGCATTCTGTCTACCACAGTGCATCCTAAGGACAGTCAGTTCCCGAGGCCTACTTACTTCTATAAGATCCTATGTTATTCCCAACATGTGGAAAGCCTCTGAAACACAGCTCTGGGACACAGGTCTTGGGAGATATTATCTGAATGAAAGTTTCACCAGGGCAAATAATTTCAAGAAATTCTAAGATTTTTTTTCCCCTCATATATGTTCACAAGGCCCAATATCATGTTAAAAGCCTATAGAGATGTCTGTTTTTAAAAAGTGTATTTTTTCTAGGATTTTTTTGTACTTAAATTCCCCATATACACTTCCGTATGCTAGAGCTTAGTGTTTCTAGAAGTACATCCCACAGAATGCTCTGTTAATAGCAGAGGGCTGAGCATTCTGTGGAATGTACTTCTGGAAACACCAAATTCTAGCATAAGGAAGAAGAAAGGTTCTGAAGTCACAGCTGCATGGATTTCCATTCATTTGTTCATTGATTCCACAAATACTAATTGATGACCTATTACATGGAGTGCACTATTCTTCATACAGCGAAAAGAGAAATTAGGGAAAATGATAAAGTTGTCTGGCCTTCTCTAAGTGAAGAATGTGTTGATCATTCCGGGAATGAAGCGCAGGGGATAGTGCAAGCTGAAACCTACTAAGGAGGAGCATCAAGTTAGCAAGGAGGTGCTGGATGAAGAGCTGAGGGAGGTGCGGAAGGAAACCCTGTGACCTTCTGGGCACAGGGTACACGGAGTTTAAAGATTCCAACCTGAACTAGGAGATGAGAGAGCCTGAGGACAGGAGAGATATGGGGAGCCTCAAGCCTGGATACCAGCCCTTTGCAGTGTGGAGAGGGAGCCGCATTCCCTGCACCTCCAGCTGGAGTGGATGATCATTCAACTTGCTTTCTAGGATGCCGTGAAGCTTAAATAAGGCCTCTTATGTACAATGCTTACTATAGGACCTGGCTCCTAGAAAACATCTGATAGGACTATTATTGCTTCCCAGTTAAGAGTACAAGCAGGAACTGTCCTACCAGGATTTGAGTCCTGCTGATGGCTTTTGCTGCCTGGGTCATGTTCTACAGAAGACTCTGTCATGCAGCAGAACCTCAAAGTTAAAGAGACCCTGAGAACCAATGGCTGAAACCAGCTTTTCTGCCAGCCTCCCCACAGAGGCCTCAGACAAGGTGTGGGCTTGCAGAAAACCGGAAGGAGTGCATCCTGCAGGCTTGTGTTGACTTCGTGACTTCCCTCTTCTTTCTTCTCATTTAATTCTTCAAATCATCCTGTGAAGTATGTAGTATTATATTTATGGTTGAGAAAATTGCAACTCTAAAAGCTGAATTCACAAGTCTGAGGCCACATAGCCAATACAGCAGAGATTTTGAAACTCATTCTGTGTGACTTCAAAACCCACACACCTTCCAGTACCCAATGCTACCTCAATGTTCCCGGAACACATATTTCTTTTATCTCTTCAGTAACACAGAAGTGTGGGGACTCACAAACAATACCAAGTTCTTTGGATGCTACTAAAATATAAAGTCTAAAATGCTACCCATCGAGTTTTTTTTTTAATCCCAACTTTGCTAGGTTGATACATTACCACCATAAGACTTTGCATAAAATCATGCTCCTGTTATTTAGTAACATTTTGAACTTAAGAGCATCAATGCATTATCAATATAAGTGATTTGGATAAAGGGCATGACTGTGCAGTACTCAGAACTAAATGTCAAAAAGAGGATGAGCAAGTAGAATTTCTTCACTGAAAGATTTCCTCATGTTCTTGAAGCTATAGTGGTGACACATTGGCTTAGAAAAACACCCTGTAGTGACCATAGTACATTCAGCTGGTCTCAAGGGCTGCAAATCCCCTGCTGCTCTTGCAGGAGACTGTGAGATCTTCGCCCTGCCTTTGTCTTGAATACCACTGGCAGGAACCAGGCAGGAAGTGTGACCTCACACTGGCTCTGCCTATGTTATGTAGGCGGTTTTTAAAAGAAAACAAGAAGGGGCTGGGGGGGGGGTGCGGTGTGAGGCTGGCTTTCCCAAGGACTACACATTCCTCCCTTCTAGGAAACAGTCGCCTGAGCACCAGACTTCTGCACACTGCAGTCATGTGCACAACAAGTATTAGGAGAGGGAATGGAAATTCCTTTTTCAAGAGGCCTCGGCACCTGTTGGCGTTCTGATGTTTTACTTTCAGTCGAAGAACAGCTCAGTCCTCGCTTTCTCTGCTATCAACCACAGGGAGCATCACATTTCCGTAATTATTTTGTCATTTATTAATTGGAAGAAGAGATCAGGGATTCCCTCCGGAAGGAGCACGTATGGGCAAAGTATTTTTTCGAGCAACATGTGTTGCTTGGAAGGAACTGGTAAACAGACTCTGTTTCTTGAAAGGTTCTAGAGCTCTAACTGTTTCACTGTTACTAATTCTCAATTAACTGTCAGCGTACTACCTGTAGAGTGCCACTATATTTAAAGACATAACAACAAGACCTTACTTTCTGTTGCAGGGTTTGTTGGCTTAAAATGAGCTTAAAGGGCTGGGGACACAGCTCAGTGTGAGCCCTGGGTTCAACTCCCAGTACAAGGGGGAAAAAATAAACAACACCTAGTGCTTGAAAAATACTAGCATTGGGCAATATAGGGTAATCTATGTTGGACAAATTGATATTATGTTGATCAAAAATGAAAATGACAAATGATATACTAATGTATTAGATTGTAAACAATATTTTTTTTATTACTAACAAGTGAAATTTACCAACGTGCGTTTTTTAGATTTAGAGATTTTTGTCCAAGGAATGCTAGCAAGTTCATTTAACATCCATAAAGGGTACTTACTATAAGCTGAGTTCTATAATTCCTAACAAGGTTTTTATGTAATTTATTAAAACAATAAGCATGGAGCTTGAGAATCACCTGATGAATTATTGTGTTAAAACCACAAAAACAATCCTTTGCACTTCGATAACTTGGACAGAGGCGGTGACTCAGAAACATAGTCCTACTTCACAAAGCTTGAGTAGATTGATATTTACACATTTCAGTAGTCAATAGCAGGTAGATCTATTTGATGAGAGGTAAGTGATCAAAGATTATATAATTTATACACTTTTATATGTGCTGAATTGGTAACCAACAAAGTAAATTAAATGCTCACAGGAGCCGAGTTCTGAAATCTTCCCAGTGTTATGCTATTTTTAGTGCAATGATGCTTATGCTATTTAGGAATGTCCAGCCTGATATCAGACTGATAATAACTACAAAGAAAGCCCTGACCCTCTGTGACTACCTGTCAGTGGCTCAAGTTGTTTGGACAAAAGACAGACACCATCCCCAAGCACAGCTGGAAACTTGATAATAAAGTTGATTTGCGCTGGATGGTTTAAATACGAATCAGTTTGTTTGGAGTTTTCTGGAAGCAGTCATTTTTCAGACTTCCTGGTTAAATAACTGACTTTCATTATTATATTTGGATGACAAATCAACCTTTGTAAGTCTGGCTTTCCCAAGTAAAACGTTATCCTTATTTAAAGAAAAAGATGATTCAGTGTCCCAAGACAATGGAAGATAGAACACAAAATCACTGAGGCAGATACAACCTTACAGAAACCCCACAATCTGGTCTCCTGCCTTCAATCCTATATCTCTGTACTATTTCAGTAAACAAATATGACTAGTGCAATTAGTAGATGCCATCTGTTTTGGCATCATTTTTCTATTTTTGATATATAGTCCATCTTTTGCTTTTTTTTTAAACATCTTTTGCAGAAAATCTGTGAAGTTTGAACAAGCGGCCTTCCCAAGATGTACCGAATATCTCAACTGATGTCAACACCAGTAGCAAGTAAATGTAGGAGAACTGCTATACGCAATTATCTTTTGAACGATTAGACGCCTTTTAGCAATTTCCTTGCTTTGATTTTGCTGATACTTAGACCATTAACCATCTGTCAGTAGCTTAGCTTCTTAAATGCCAGTGTGCGCCACTGTGATGATTTTGACTTCATTTCTTTCCTTGAGAGAAATGTGGTATTTTTTTTCGTAGAAAAAAATTCACTACTTTTTTAGATGCCTGTGCATAAATGTGAAAGGAGATTGTTTATCAGCTACTATTAAGATGCAAAACTGTCCATAAAAAATGCTGAATGATTTTGATAGCTACTTGCAGAAAATAAGGGCGTTGTTAAAAGGGTACTGGTTTCAAGTTTCTTCCTTCCTCTTGTTATTTTCTCCCCAAACCTCAATTCTAACCCTCCCTCACACACCCACGATTTTCTCCTGACAAATCAACCAGCCCAATCTGAAAGTCTAAATTCCTTTCTTTGTCTTGGTGATTGTCAGTCATGGAATCCAGTCTCTTGGAGCCTGTCTGTTATAAGTATTGACATATCTCTGCACAGTATTAAATGCTGTTTTGGAGTTTAGAATATTAATCTGTAGCAATTCTCCCCAGGGGAAGTTGCCAGGCCCACTGTTAAGCTGGACTCAATGAATAGGTGACTTTTTTTTTAATGAGGAATACTCATAGGCTTCCAACATTGGAACATTGCATATTTAAAAACAAAACAAATGAAACACCTTTATTCTCTCTCTCTCCTCACCCCACTAATGTGTTCTGCTCACAACTTTACAGAACTTTCTTAAAATGCACTAAGGAGGGAGAATTGGGGCTGATGACTGAATTTCTCAGATTACTGAGTAAACTACAGTAACTAAGTCTTTGGGCAATTGACATTGGTCTCTTCCCTACTCGATGCTTTCTTCCTTCCTTTCACAAGCTCATTTTGATGCCAAGGACTTATTATTGCCTCATCTTACACTGAGGAACCTCTAAAGCACTGCTGTAAGAAGGGACAGAAACTGGAAGCCCCAACACCCTTTCTTTCTTCCCATGGGGGCCTGGTGACAAGTTGTGTTGGGCTGATTGGTAGCAAGGATGGGCTAGCTGAAGTCTTCTTGCTTAGGCTGAGACACCAACCGTCTCATTGCCACCATTGTCAGGATCCTGTGTCTTGGTGAGGTGCCATGAATTCGTCTCCCATTTGCATTGCAGGCTCCACCAGGTCCAACAGAGAATGTACTGGAGAGCTGGCTCCCTCTTGTATTTTCCCAAGGTATGCCGCCGAGCTTTTCACCATCAAATCCAATTCCCTTCCTGTATGTCTTATTTTGTCCTGATTTGAAAATATCATTTGAGCGATCATCTGGTTTTGATGTGGTTATATATTTTCAAGCACAAACAAAACAAAAACTAATCTGAGGACAGATTTTATTTTTGATTTTTTTTTTTTAGTGTGAATGTGTAGGCAGATATAAATTGCTTCTTTCTTGAGTGGAGAAGCTATAGTGAATACTGATGAATGGTCACTTTTTCTCACATCAATGGTTTCTCTCTTTTTATTTATTTATTTTTTTTTTAGATATACATGACAGTAGAGTGTATTTTGACGTATTATACATCCGTAATTGTCTCTTAAATATGTCTTCCTAGCTCATGTTATAAAGCCATATTATTTTACACCAAAGCATAAGCTGCCTCAGTTTCACACTTCACTCACACAAGTAGATGCTACCATCGTGTTCAAGTAGTACACAGACTCTTCTTTCCTTCCTTCCCTCCCTCCTTCCTTACTTCCTTCCTTCCTTTTTTCCGGACCCTCGGAAGTTTAACTTTCCCATGCATTTTGTGAAATGAGCCCATAAAGGGGTCAGACACTGATATTAGAACTTGCCCCTTCCAGTAAATTAATTCTAGGGTTCCTGAGCTACCAAAAGAGTCAGCTCTGGTTGAATGAACAGGACTGTGGACAGAACACATGCTTTAGAGTCAGATCAACCAGGTCCACCCACATCATAGCTCTGCCACATACAAGCTGTGGAAAATATCCAAGTAATTTGCCCTTCTGCATCTCATTTTTTCCCTGCTGTACAAGGTTGTGAACAGTGATACTTATATTTAGAGAGATTAACGAAGAGCAGACAAGAAAATGTGTGTCCAGACCCATGATAAGTTCCAATAAATAATACCTATTAAAACAGCATTTCCTTAAGAACTTGGGTGCATATATTAATCATGGATAGGCTTTTAAATTGAAAACAAAAGGGATTCAGTGGAGCATGAGGGAGATTTATTGAAGAAGGGTGTGCTCAAGTCCCCTCCAGCCTCACAGAGGGCTTGTTCCCTCACCCACTCAGTGGCCATCCTTAAGGAGCTCATTAGTGCTCCATTGATGTGGGATTAATTGTATACTATACTGTTTTTTTTTTTAAGACCCTAGCAGTGTTTGTCCCTTCACCAATGCCAGTCAATCTTTGTGATACCCTAGAAAGCTGAGCTCCAGGCTCTTCCAAAGCCTGGTCAGTCACTTCTCAAAGCAAGACAAGACTTGGTCTTTGGGCAGTTGAGTTAGTTGTTGGCTTTGTGTGAGATTGGAGTTCTGAAACCAGCTCGAAGGGACCTTCTGGGAAAACTCAGCTTTTGCAATTATTACAGCAGAATTGAAGAGTTACATCAAGATCTAGAGGCAATTGTGCTACACCTCAAAGTGTTGGGGGAAGCAGCTCTTTCTTACTATAGTGTGGGTGTCTGGAAAAACATCTCTATTTTGTCTACAATCAAGACAGAGGAGACAAAGTCAAGAGGAGTAGAAAGGGGAGACACCTGGGGTGCAAGAGACTGCTGTTGACCCACATTCAAGGTTGAAACCTTGGGAGTTAGAGGGCTCATGGAAATGCAGGTCTGGAAGTCTGTATCTCCTACATGTCCAGTGCATTAGAGTCACCCTGTTGATTTTTGTTTGTTTGTTTGTGTGTGGTTAGGCAACTGAACCCAGGATCTTACCCATGCTATGCAAGTGCTCTACCATAGAGCAACATTCCCAGCCCTTTTAAAAAGGAAAATTAACTTTGAGACAAGGTCTCATTAAGTTGCCCAGGCTAGCCTCAAACTTGGAATCCATCTGCCTCAATCTCCCAAGAAACTGGGATTTCAGGTGTGTTCCAGATTAATTCTTGAGGAGGCAAAATGGTATAGAGGAAAAAATCACAAGGTAGGAGACAAAAGATGTAGATTCTTATCTTGCCTCTTCCAATTACAAGTCTTAAGATCTTGAACAATTAACTATCCTACTGGAGTCTCCATTTTCTAAACTATTAAGAAAGGGAACAATAACCAAAAATGAGGTGAGTCAGTGCATATCTGCAAAGTAGACTCTCCTGTTGATTCCCAAGCATCTCTACCTGTACTGTTCAAAATTTTCATCACAGGTTCGAATTAAGGACATATTAATTCTAGGGATAACAGTTTTGAACAACATTATGTAAATACATTAAAAATGTCATGGTGTAATCCGAGTCCTCCCAAATTCCAAAAGCACAAAACTTGGGTCGTTCAAATACTAGGCAATAGATTTAGTTCATAGCACCTGGACGATGGAAGATAGAGGTGTTAACCTTCCATGTAATGATGACATGATGATATTTTATCTTCATAGCAACTCTACAAGGTTGGCTTTGGGTAAAGCTTGTTATATAGGTTTGCATTTACAGAAAGCTAAATCTTAGGGTGTATAAATAATTAGCAAGTGGCAGAATCAGGATTCAATCTCAATTTTAAACCCACCTTTATCTCTATAAAAGACTTTTGTTATTTGTCTTTATTATATATTGACCTTCTAAGGTAATTGGGTGATTGATCCTAAAGGGTAATTTATCCTAATGCCGGGTGGGGGATTGTGATTAAGTATATGGGAGAAAGTCTGGAAATTGATAATCGATTCAGTTGTATGATGATAAGTTGGTGGTGACTATAGAAAAATAAAGAAAAGAATCAGGCTAACATGACTTGGGCTTCATCATTAAAGACATGATTCTATAATGAGGGAGATGAGAGTCCCAATCTTCTCTAGACAGTCACATTTAAAAGGCTGGGTTCCATGCTGGGCACAATACATGAAAAGATGATTTAAAAGCTGAAAAATAGAGAATACCAGTCAAAATATGATCGCAAAGAGATCAAAACCACATTGTATCATATAAAGTCAAGTTAAATGAACTGGAAAAGTTTTAGTGTGGAAAACAGAGAACCCATGCAGGACACAGAATGTGTCTTCCTGAAGCGGAGTGGCTGTTAGGTGGAAGGAAAAGAGACGTTATAATTTCTCAGTTATAGTGAGAAGAGTAAGGATGTGGCAGATGGCACTCAAGATAAGGGGGGCCGAAGGGAATCATTGGTTTCCAACATCCCAGAAAGGCTGTTTTGCAATTTTTCCACCCAAGAAAATGGACTCATGTCAAAAGTGAAGGCTCATCGTGTGGGGAAGATGCTGCTTAGCCACATCGTTTTCACCGAAGTTTAAAATAGAAAGAGGCACTACACGTTGTGTGGTTCAACGCTGAATCCCAAAAGGCCAGAGTGACAGCGTGAGGGTCCAGGAAGTAACCAATAGAGCAAATGGGAAGCGGTCCCCTTTCTTCCCGGGAGCTGGGCACTGCAGCTGTGTGGCTGCAGCATGGCGCCCTCACAGACCCTCTGTGCTCCCTCTCCAGCCTGGCCTTCGACTTCCTGGACGGTGGGAGTCCCTTTGAATGCTGCTCCATCGACCCCTTGACAGGCTCCCATTACACCTGTCGCCGCAGCCCTAGACTCCTCACCAATGGCTACTATGTGTGGACGGAGGACAGCTTCCTCTGTGACGAAGACGGCAACATAACTCTGAACCCTTCCCAGACCACCGTCATGTACAAGGAGAACCTGGTCAGGTAAGTGGAGGCTGTTACCTAAGGGGGGGCTCAAGTCCCCTCCAGCCTCAGAGGGCTCGTTCCCTCACCCACTCAGCGGCCATCCTTAAGGGGCTCATTCGTGCTCCAGATTGTGGGGACCAACGGCTAGGAAGGGACAATGATGGCTGACTTGAAAACGAGCGAAAGTGAAGTGAAGTGATCCAGGTGCCGGGTAGGAATCTGTGTGGGGGTGGTGGAAGGAAAGAGCAGGAGGCCAGTTTACCTGGGTACAGGTTGAAAACAGGCATTCTAGAGCTGGTGACGGCGGACTGGAGTGTTAGAGATGTGAGGTATTAGGTGGTGTAGGCAAGGGAAGAGAGCACAGATGTGGGATTCTGAGAAACCAATACGCGTCGGGCAGTGCAGGTAGCTCAGGAGGGTCCAGCTATGGTGGGAAGGGAAGGAGTGTCTGTGGGAAAGCAGGCTGAGCACCAAGGTGGGGTCCCCACCAGGCTCAGGCATGTGGGCTCCAGTCCCTACATCAGGAAGAGCCACTGATTAGTTCTCAGAAGGACAGCAGTGATTGCTGTTCAGAGGATGGACTGGCGGGAATCCAAGTGGAAAGCGAGTAGAAGAGAAAAAACTGAAGGCAGGGTACCACAGACTGAGAGGACGTGGGACTAGGATAAGAGGGAGGGAGGCACATAGACAGGATGGCAAAGGGGCAGGGTCCGGATGCTTTTCAGGTGGGAGTTCAGAAAAGGAAGGGCACTTTGATGAAGTGTGGGACCCTGGCATTGTCAACTGGCACCAGTCACCCAAAGCAGAAATCAAAGAAAGGTGTATTTGGAGGAAAGAAGACAAATGGATTCCCTTTGGATCAGGGAATTTGGGCAATCAGGTCTATTTTCTTTTGCTGCAAAACCACCCACATGCTGACTGCATCACTCAGCTATTGACTCAACAATCCTGTGTCACTGATCCAGAGTGAATCCATTCATCTTCTTCCCTCCAAACACACCCTTCCTTTATTTCTGCTTTGGGTGATTGGTCCCATTTCACATCCAGCTGACAAAGCCAGAGTTCACTTCCTGAAAGAGCCCGTCCTTTTCTGGAACTCCCATATCAGAACAGTGACAAAATCCTAGTGATACACAACAGCTAGACCACTTTTTGTAGTTGGGCTGAGTTTCTGCTTACACTCCACTGGAAGACCCTGTGGCTCATGGCTGCACCTGGTGGCAAGAGATCAGGGAAATATAGCCTAGTGTGTACCCAGGAAGAAGAGCAGAATAGTTACGTAGAAAGTTTATTGCTTCTGCTACAGTGGCTAAGGCAGATGAGTCGACTGCCCAAGGCTACTTAGAGTCGCTCTCCTCCTCTTCGTTCTTATGGCCACTGTCTTTCTACAGACCACCATCCCTTCTTGCTTAGGTCTATGCAGTTGGTCATAGCACTCTGACTGTCTGGGATTACCCACCTTCCAGGACCTCTCCAGGCTGCTGCACAGTGGCTTTCTGACATGGCCCAGGGACCTCCTTCAGGAGAATTTTACCCCATTTCTTTTTCTCCCAATTTACCTTAATCATAACTACCAATGTTTGTTAAATAAATGAAAAACCAATATCATTTCTTATTTGCTGTATGCTAGATACTATCTCAACCATTTAAGTACACTCTCATTTGATTCCAACTCCTGCTCTACTCTGACTTGGATTCTAGTATCACCATTTCCATGAATACACGGGAAACATAAGTCCAAGTAAGTAACTTCCCCAAGCTTGCAGAGCTAGTAAATGGAACCAGGATTCCAAAACAGGTTCTCTGACCTGAGAGAACAAGTTTCTAACCACCACTTTTAACTCGATCCTATTGTAGAGATATTCTTGACCTTACAGATGATGTTTTATCCATACATTTTGTTCTCAAATTTGATAGGTGTTCATCCCAATAATAGGTGCTTAATGAAGACTTGCTGGGTGAATTAATCAATATATGAGTACATAGAAATTTTCTAATTACTGCTTAATCAACTTAAGATGATCTCATTTTAGAACCTGCAAGAAACTTTCAAATTTGATTCATTTTCACAAGGTAGTTATTCATGATCATGAACTCTATCATTTTTCTTAACTTGCTGTTACTTGAAATTGATGACAGAGAGAGTGAGCCCCCAAACGAGTTTCTCATCCAAGGCCCCATTCCTGCCAAGGTTCCCTAGGACTGAGGTCACCCTCGTGGGGAACCAACAGGAAAAACAATGCTCAAGGCCTGCTGCAATCCATGTGAATATGAGAGTGCAGTCAGTTCCAAAGACACCTTGAAGGCAGCTAGAGATGCCCATGGCAGGGAGGCTTGCTGTAATGGGAAAAGTGTCCCGTTTCCTCTTTGCCCTTCTGGGCTTTGCTTCAGGCCCTGATTATCTTCTCCAGGGTGTGCATAATGCAGGCTCAGCACATCCCAGCTTGGCTGAAACCACCTTGTGTTGCTGTATATTTTGAATATCCTTTCTGTCCTTGGTCTGGCCCCTTTGAGTCATTCTCTGTGGCCAAGAATCTTTTGGAAATGCAAACCCAAGCAGGTCACCACACTTTACCTCCCTTGACATGCTCCTGAGGTTGGTCTCCTTTTGCATTAACATTAAATCTTGCCTCATTCCCCAAATAGACAAGGTTCTTCACTATCTGCCCATGTTTACCTTTCCAGCCACAATTCCTAGCGTGACCTAATGAGACCCACTTGTCCATCAGTGAGCAGGGCATGCTCTTGCAACTTGGAACTCACTCCACAAAGCCTCCTTCAATTCTCAGTGAGCGATGCCTTTCCCCATGCTCCCCAGCCTGCCTCTGGAGAGGCATATACCCCCTACTTACAAGCACATACCCCCTAATTTTTTGGTGATCTAGACCAGACTGGAAGCCAGGCTGTCCACTTGATAGCTGGATGACCTCAGTCGGGTAACTTAACCTCTTTAGGACTCAGTTTCCTTAATGCAAAAATGGAGTAATCATAGTGCCCCCCTCATAGGGCTGCTTGAAGGTAACCTGAATATCCAGGTAAAGACTGAGAAACCCACCTGGACACAACAGATTCTAGGAAAGCACCAGCTAGACCTGCATTGTTTGTCTTTCTCTTAGAGTAGACTGTGACCTTTGTGTACACATGGTTTAGTCTTTAGCTCATATCCTTGACATTGATCCAAGGACTTGGCACATGGTAGAATTTTAATTAACTTCTGTGGAATTAATGGAGTGACCAGACTCGCTCTCTAGACATGGGGCACTGTTTCACACCTGCAGTGACTGCTGTTCACAGTTTACCAGGCCACTTTCGTTTCCTCCCAGAATATTCAGGAGAAAGAAGAGAGTCCGCCGCTCCCTTCCTTCTCTCTTCAGCCTCAGTGCCTCCCAATCCTGGCTGTGTGGAAGTGTCTTGGGTGATTCTGATACTTCCCCCCATGAGGACATCTGGCTGGAGGGTGCCAGGAGGCTGGATTCATACCACAGCAGCGAGAATGGTGAGTTTGAGTATTAATTTCCAGAATGAGGCGTCATCCAAATTGGTAGTGGCAGCCATGTGGTCCAGGACCAAAGTCAGATCCAAAGGTGAGAGTGAATTTGATAAAGAGGATGGACCACATTAAAAATTTACCCAAATTCTCTCCACAGGACTTATATGATGGAAATGTGTAGGTGTCCCTGTGGCACAGAACACCCTGATGTTAATGTGTAGAATAGTAAGTTGATAATGCTCAGGAAATACTCTCACTTCCCTGAAGCATCTTTTCCTGTATGGGATACTGGTGGAGAAATGATACTGGAGTCAGATTTAAAAGACCTCTATTAGAGAAGGTGTACTGGATTCAGGGTTCAAGTCCTAGTCTGGACACATTGGGATAATTACTTTGCTGCATCTCAATTTCTTCTTTGAAAAACAAGATACATACATATATGTGCATATATATTTCTCTTGAAATAGATAACATCTCATATAACATAAATTGCATATATTGCATAATAAAAATATACATAAATATGTGCTTATGTGTGCATACATGCAAACATGTATAACCACAATAATGTAATGCCAAAGCATATTTTCTTATTTATTCACTCATTTTTTCAAACTTCCTGACTGATTACCTGCTCTGTTGGCAGTCATACTAAGCACATATTCCTCAAAGTTGAATAAGACATGACTCTAATCTTGGTAAACTCCTGGTTGAAGATAGGGAGGTAGGTGTGTTTGCAAATAATTGCAGTATGACACCTTCAGCACTGTAGCAGAGGCATGAGCCATGTGCAGAGAGAATGCCCGGCAGTGAGCCAGGGAAAGCAATATTAGCTCTGCCTGGAGGAGCCTGGAGGATCTCAGAGCAGGCAGCATCCTAGAAGGTGTTAGGAGATATGTGGGCTCGCTTGGTGGAGATGAACTAGAAGGATATTTCTAGCTTCCCCGTTCCATCCTCCAAATTGCTGAGAGGATGGGCTTCCCAAGACAAGTATGTAGCCTTGCTATTCCTTCTTAATATACAATTTCTTTCAATTTTTCATATTTCCCAACCAGAAATGGATTAATTGTGCAGGATTCAGTGCAAAATAAAATTCAGGGCATCTCATTAAAAAAAAGGTTCAGGAGTTTCAAATGTGGACAGCAGAGTGTTAAACCAAGGGTGAAGCCCTCTGGGCATGGGGCCTCTACGGTTGCACTTCTCCCATGCCCTGCCACTGTCCTGACTTCAACTTCATCTTCTTTTCTTCCAAGCATTCCACTCAGACCACTCTCATCTGCCCTGAGTTTCTCAATGGACCACAGTCTTCCTGTCACTGTTCTCAGGTTGCTTACTCTACCAGAATCCATTCCTTCATTCATTTGGGAGATTTCATTGAAGGCCAGCCATGTGGCAGGAGGAGCCTGGAGGATCTCAGAGCAGGCAGCATCCTAGCAAGTGTTAGGAGACACGTGGGCTTGCTTAGACAGAGTGGCGACAGAAACAGACAAAATTACTTATTCTCATGGAACTTGCTTGTGTGTGTGTGTGTGTGTGTGTGTGTGTGTGTGTGTGTTGGGGAGAGATGGACAATAAGTAAATTATATAGCATGTTAAGAATATGAGTGGAATGAAGAACAACTCAGGGTGAGGTGATGGGGATTGCAGGCTGAAATAAGGTGGCCAGGGAAGGCCTCCTTCAGTAGGACTTTGAGCAGAAGCAAAGCCTCTGGGTAGGCATCTGGGGAGGAGGCATCCAGGTGAGGCAAGAGTGAGTGCAGAAGCTCTTGGCCAGGAAGCTGCTTACTGGATGGGGGAGTGGAGGGAGGTGTGTGTGTCCCAGTGTAAGTGGGGAAGGAAGGAGAGCCAAGGGGCCATGTCCAAGGCTGGGCCTTCTGTGCCAAGCAAGCTGAGATGCCACTGGGGATTTTGATCAAGAAATAGCATGATTCAAGTTACATTCTGACAAGAAAACTCTGGCTGCCCGGTTCAGATTAGATGTCAAATGTGAGAGACAGACACCGAATCTGGTGGGGTTTGGAGTGATTTCCAATGGGGAAGAGGCAGCTGGAACTAAGATGATTGCAGAGGAGGGTGAGAAGGACTGGGATTCTGGACACATTTCAAAGGCAGAGTCATTTGGATTTTCCCCATGTGGGCTGTGAGAGGAAAAGAGATATCAAGGGGTTGTTATAGGCTGAGCATTTTACAGTCTGTCTTGCTTAAATGTATTAACCTTGTTTACGTCCACTATCTTGTTTAAATATCCCCCAGTCCCTTAAGAAGTAGGTCACATTATCATATTTATTATAATTAGGATGAAACTGAGGCTTAGGGTTAAGTAACCTGCCCATGTTCATTTAACTTATAAACATCAGAGCTGGAATTCAATCAAGGTCTGCCTTTGCTCTTTGCCAAGAAGGGTTTTACCCTCCTTTTCAAGGTCAAATCCAGCATGTATCTCATAGCCCAGGTTCAAAGAACAAGCAAGTTTAGTCATATAATACAGTCGCAAATAATTTAAGTGCACTGTCATTGTATGTCTACTAATTTTCTCAAACTGGTTCCTGGACATAAAGCAAAAGTTACATAATCTTTTTAAAATTTTTAAATTTACAGTAATTATAAGTGCATACAAAATTGCAAAAAAACAACAACAACAACAACAAAAAACCAGTACAGAGAGTGCCTGTGTACCATTCATCAAGTTTCACCCACTGGTAACAATTTATACAACTATAGAATATTATCAAAACCAGGAAATTGTCATTGACATGATACATGAAGATTCCACCAGATTTTACACCCACTTATGTGATTGTGTGTAATATTTAATACATTTTAAAAATAAAACAAGTGCTTATTAAATGAAGAAACAATTCCATAATATGAACAAAGGATTAATTTAAGTCAAATACATTTTTCCCCCCTCACAACAACAAAGAGGTACCTGCAGGAAGAGGAGAAAAGAAAGGCAGGAACACAGAATGAACGTGGAAAGAGAGACTGGGTGGTGGAGGACCTGCTGTGCACTCTGAGGACTGGAATTTACCTAACTAATCGAGGGTAATTTTGAAGGATCTTAAGCAGGTTGACATTCATCAGATATAGATTTTCAGTTACCTTCTCAGTATCACGGCATGAAGACAGGATGAGGGGTAACTAGTGGGACTCGAGTACAATTGACCCTAACCAGCACAATGAGAAAGTGGCTCTGGAATCAGAGCCCAAAAAAGATTTAAGAAAAATCTTTCAGAGTAGAATTAAAAGGCTGGTGACACATTATATGTGGTGGTGGTAAAGTGGGAGAAGGTAAAGAAAATTGATGTTTTTACTTTGGAGGGCTGCATAAAGCTGGCGACAGTAGGCAGGGTGCGTTTTGAGCTGGATGGACCCGAGTTCAAGTCCTTGGACCATCTCTTTCTACTTAAGTGGTCTTGGGAAAGTTATAAAAAACCTCTTGGAGCCTCCATTTCTTCATATTTCAAAGAGGAAAAATAATAGCCTATACAATTGCCATGGGAACAAAATGCAGCAACCCATAAAAAGTACCGAGTTAGCACAGGGGCTGGCATTCTGTTCAGTGTGTACAGCTCTGAAAACAGAGGACTCAGGTCAGGAAGAGAGACGATGAATTCTATTTCATAAGGGCTGAATCTGATGTACTTAGGAAAGATGCCAAGTCAAGGTGTGAGAAAAGTTCAGGAGTTAGGAAAGGATCTGAGACAGTGGTTTGAAAGTCAACCTGAGAAGCAGTACAGGTCTCTAGAACAGTGGGGTCTCCCCAAGAAACCAAGTGAATGAGCAGAAAGGAACAACTCAGAGTCATGGGTGCTGTGGACCATCACCATCCCAGCAGATCCACATCTGGGGCGACACCACTTCCTGGGGAACCCCAAGGAGAGCTGCTGTTCTTATTGCCACTTTCTAGAGGAGGAGGCTGAGGCAGATCCATGCTTTTCATGAGGCCACACAGTTAGGAAGGAGCATGGCCAGGACTCCACCTTAAGCAAGTGACCCTGTGCTCTTAGGCACTGTGGGTCACGGGGGAGAGGCTCACAGGCCAAGAACCAGAGGAACCAGTATGCCATGGAATATAAAGAGATGTCTAGTGACGTCTGAGAAGCCGTCAATCCAAGAGTCCTGTGGCCTACAAGAAGCCTCTGGTGAATAAGTTACCTACTAAATCTTGGCACAAGCACCTTCAGTAATGAAGGGCTTTCAATACTTTTTAATTGAGATATAACTCACCTCCTATAAAAATTACCATTTTAATGTATACAATTCACTGATTTTTTTAGTATCATCTCAAGATAGGTTATGCAACCATGACCACCTTCTACTTCCAGAATACTTCCTCACCCCAAAAAAGAAACCCACACTCACCAGAGGTCATGCCCCTTCCTAGCCAGCCCCCTGACAGCCATTAAGCTACTACTTTCTGTCTCGATGGATTTGCCTATTTCAGACTATCATCATTATTTTTAAATTTTATTAGTGAATATCTGATAAAAATTGTATGTATTTACTGCAAACGATGTGATGTTTGTATATATATATATATATATATGTGTGTGTGTGTGTGTGTGTGTGTGTGAAAAGGCGACATCAAGCTAATTAACATATCTATCCTCTCAGACAGTTGTGAGAGCATGTCAGAGTTAGTCTCTAGCAATTTTTAAGTACACATTACATCATTATTAACTACAGTCACCATGCTATGTGATAGACCTGCAGATCTGATCTGATCCCCTCTGATGGTAACTGTGTACCCTTTGTCCAGCATCCCCCCAGCACCCATGTATACCCTCTCATTGTCTTTGAAGGTTGCCTCTTACCCTCACTGGCTAAGATGGTGGGCTTATGCTGACTGTTCATTCGTCTTTGCCAGTTTCCATCCTTGGGTTTTAGCCTAGTTCTCTGGGGCTCAGATCTCTTCTTAGATCTAAAGCAAAGTTTCCCAAAGTGTGGGATGGGGTGGGAAATGCCTGTAGGATCCAGCAGAAATGGACACTGAGTTACATAGG